GGGGGGGGGATTTTGGGGTGCAGACTACCCCCTCCTGATCCCTCTGTGCAGCCAAGGGGGAGATGTTGGGCTGCTTCGGGTTGACGGAGCCCAACCACGGCAGCGACCCTGGGAGCATGGAGACGAGAGCGCGCTACGACAAAGCCACCAAGAGCTACCGCCTGCGGGGCACCAAGACCTGGTGAGACCCCCCACCCCAAAGCCATCGCTGGGGGGGGGGGAAGCCCCCCCTGGGTCCCCCCGGCCCCCCCCCCCCCCATTGCACCTTTAGGATCACCAACGCCCCCGTGGCTGAGCTGTGCGTGGTGTGGGCCGTGTGCGAGGAGGACCGGCAGATCCGGGGTTTCCTGCTGGAGCGCGGCATGGCGGGGCTCAGCACCCCTAAAATCGAGGGCAAGTTCTCGCTGCGAGCCTCCGCTACCGGCATGATCGTGATGGATGATGTGGAAGTGCCGGAAGAGAACGTGCTGCCCGGCATCAAGGGGCTGGGGGTAAGGGGAGGGGGGGGATGCTGGTGATGGTGGGAGAGTGGGGGGTGAAAGCCAGCATTGGGACCCCCGCTGACGGCCGCCCCTCAGGGTCCCTTCAGCTGCTTGACCCACGCTCGCTATGGCATCGCATGGGGCGCGCTGGGTGCTGCGGAAACGTGCCTGGAGACGGCTCGGCAGTACACCATGGACAGGTAATGGGGAGATGGGAGGCACGACAGACCCCACCCCCACTGTGCTGTCCCGACCCCCCCCCCCCTCCCCAGCTCTCTGTGCCCCCCATGTGCCGCAGGAAGCAGTTCGGGGTGCCCTTGGCCCGTAATCAGCTGGTGCAGAAGAAGCTGGCGGACATGATGACGGAGATCGCGCTGGGGCTGCATGCCTGCCTGCGGCTGGGCCGCCTCAAAGACGAGGGCAGGTGAGCGGCTGCGGTGGGGGGAGCTGAGAGGGGGGGACCTGCGGTGGGGAGATCTGCAATGGGGGGACCTGCAATTTGGGGACCTGCGATAGGGAGACCTGTGGTGGGGGG